GCAAAAGTACTTCATTTTGATGTAAACGTACTTTTGTTTGGTGTTCAGTTTTTTCTGTCTATGCACATCACAAATGCATTGTGATTAATATGCTTTCAACGTAATGCTCTGTATTGTATTCTGTTGCATAACCAGGCAAAAGCATATTTTTGCATTGTGGAAATTGGGTGTTCAATGCACAGAATAATATGCAGCCTGTTACACTGATTTCTTTCAGCTTGTTGATGTTAAATGCATAATATATGCTGTATAGGAGTAAGAAAGGATTAATTACACTTCCTGTATGTCTATACTGATTCAAGCAGACCTTTGAATGCCTACAGAGATTTCTGTGTAATCATAATTCATAATGAACTTTACTTGAAATGAAACATGTTGGCAAATCCAGTTTTATAATCATTCAGCCATGTGCAGCACGACCACGTGCCATGAATTTTACGAATTAGATATTGTTCATATTGTGATAAACTGATAATGCACATTAAATAGACGAGATCACAACATTTCCAAGATTGCTTTTTTTATAGCCATTTTTTTATAGGCACAGGAACTAAATGCTGTGCGATTCTATAGTGGCCTACAGAATAAATATAGGAAAAATAAATTGAACAAATATAAGTTATGCATGATTTTTGTCTCTTCTGTTTGTTTCAGCTGGATTTGACTGTCCCGTCTGCTCAAAGTTTGTCTGTTCTGATGAAATGGATGTTCATTTGCTCATGTGTTACTCCAAACCCAGACTCCATTATAATGGTAAGAATAATCTTCACTGTCACACACTGACCGCAGCAGGTCACTCTCTTTCTGTCCAGTTAGATCATTGGCCTGTTCATGCACTCTTGGGCTCTCAAACAGAAAAACCAAAAAAACCTGAGATTATTTCCTGCTGGACAGCTATTAGCTCCACTGACAAACTTGTTTTTGTCCTGCACCATCTATTTTAATGCTGATTTGTTTTGTTGTGTAACAGCGCCCCGTGTGTCATCAGCTGCTGCTCTGAGCTTCTCTGATGCTGATAGTGATGTTGTGATGTTTTCTCTTTCTGTAGATGATGTTTTGTCCCGGGACTCTGGCGAGTGTTCGATATGTCTGGATGACATGGTTCAGGGGGACACCATCGCTCGACTGCCCTGTCTCTGTGTCTACCACAAAGGGTTTGAGAAACATTCACTATCACAGTCATACACACACACATACCTGCTGTCGTCTGTGGAAATCAGCTCATCTTCTGCTCCTCCAGGTGTATTGATGAATGGTTTGAGGTTCATTTGCTCCTGTGTTACTCCAAACCCAGACTCCATTATAATGGTAAGAATAATCTTCACTGTCACACACTGACCGCAGCAGGTCACTGTCTTTCTGTCCAGTTAGATCATTGGCCTGTTCATGCACTCTTGGGCTCTCAAACAGAAAAACCAAAAAAACCTGAGATTATTTCCTGCTGGACAGCTATTAGCTCCAAAGGGTTTGAGAAACATTCACTATCACAGTCATACACACACACATACCTGCTGTCGTCTGTGGAAATCAGCTCATCTTCTGCTCCTCCAGGTGTATTGATGAATGGTTTGAGGTCAACAGGTTGTGTCCAGAACATCCCACAGATTAACATTAAAACAGGTCAGATGTTAGACAATTACATAAACAGAGTGGTGTCAGTAACCACCAATTAAAAAAAAAAAAAAAACTACTGTTTTTTTTTTCTATCTGCAGATGATTCAAATAAAGAGGAGCAGAAGAAAAGGGCACAGCTAATATTTTCTCCAGGATCTGACTCGCTTTGACACTAGATGATGAATCCATCACAATCTGAGACTTTTATGGACCTAGAACCTGCAAGCATGCGTATACTTTGCACAGTTCTGTTAGCAGACCTGAAGGCTGTTTTACAGTAATCTAGCTGCCATCTTTACCCATGAAACTCTTCAGAGATCAGATGGTGGGCTGCAGTACTGCTTCAGGTTAGAGTAACATAACAGTGGTTTCATGATCGATAACCACAAGATGGAACATATTTTCCCTAACAGGACTTTCTGTTGAACTGTTTTTAACCAAAGGAAGAGTTGTTTAGAAAAGACATGAATATAGTGGACGATGGCTGACAGAATGTGAGTAAAGGAAGAACATGAAAGACCTAATCAAAGATATTTTCTGTGCATGTAGATTTTTGAAATTATATTTAAAATAGATGAACCAGTTGTGAATGTTTTTGATAAATGCTGTTAATTTTTTTTCCCCAATGTGCTGCTGTGTATATAACAGGTACTAGTTACAAACAATATATATATATTAATCATATATAAATAAATTCAAAGGGCTCTGGAATGTAAAGATGTGTCATTTTCTACTTTGTTTCTAATAATAATGACCATTATTCTGTCCAACAACATTAGGTGTTTCTATACTATTTATTTGTATTGTGTGTGTGTGTGTGTTAACACAGAAAAAATAATAATATTGTGAAATATTATTACAATTTAAAAGAATGGTTTTCTATTTGAATATACTTTAAAATATAATTTATTTCTGTGAATTTTCAGCATCATTACTCCAGTCTTCAGGGTCACATGATATTTCAGAAATCATTCTAATATGCTGATTTATTATCAATATTAGAAACAGTTTTGCTGCTTCATATTTTTTTTAAACCTGTGATACTTTTTTCAGGATTCTTTGATGAATAAAACATTAAAAAGAACAGCATTTATTCAAAATATAATTTTTTGTAACAATATACACTACCGTTCAAAAGTGTGGGGTCAGTTTTTTTTGTGTGTGGATGCGTTAAATTGATAAAAAGTGATAATAAAGACTTACATTGTTTTAAAAGATTTCTGTTTTAAATAAACGCTGTTCTTTTTTAGCTCTATTCATCAAATAATCTCGAAAAAAGTATCACAGGTTCCAAAAAAATATTAAGTGGCACAACTGTTTCCATTGATAATAAATCATCATATTAGAATGATTTCTGAAGATCATGTGACACTCAAGACTGGAGTAATGGTGCTGATGAAAATTCAGCTTTGCTTCACAGAAATAAATTATATTTTAAAGTATATTAAAATAGAATACCAGTATTTTAAATGGTAATAATATTTTACAATATTACTGTTTTTTTCTGTATTTTTGGTCAAATAAATGCAGCCATGATAAACAGAAGAGACTTCTTTAAAACACATTAAAAATCTTGCTGATCCCAAACTTTTGAACAGCAGTGTGTGTGTGTGTGTGTGTGTATGTGTATATATATATTATACAAGTTTTATCCGTACAGTCTTTTTATTTAATTTTGAAAACATCACGGAAGTATGAAATGATAGAAAGTCAATAGATGAACAAGTCTGATTCGACGTTTGCATTTTGGGATTTTGGGATCGGAGCTAGCCACAGAGTCACTTGCAGGCAGGGTTGCCCGGTCTTCACAAAAAAACCGCCCAACCGCGTTTCGAGGGGTAAAAATCATAGACTGTATAAAAACATGGACGTAGTGTCCGTGACGTCACCCGTAGGTTCCAGAAGAGCGTTTTTGAAGCTCAAAGTGGGCGGAGCCGGCCGTCGCCATCGTGGTAGCGCGTCACCGCGCGTCACTCCCGGATAATCGAAAATGGGCAAAAAGGCGGGGGTTATAAGGAAAACGCTTACATGGCTTAATGCATTAAAACAGTGCTTGTCTGTACATAGTATGATTTATTAATCATGTTCTCACTGAGTTTCGTCTTTTAAAAACAGTTTTAATCGGTTTTAATTCATTAAGCCACGTTAAGAGTTCTTACAGCCTAACGGTTTTCTATGGGAGGAAAACGCTTAACGAGTAACGTTAATTACAGGCCTAACGTTACAGCTAATCACAGTCTGTCAGATTCTGGAGTGTAGTAGAGTTTTGAATAAAATTATAAAGAATAAATAAATTAATAAATAAAATTACATTACAATATCACTAACCGGAAAAAATGGATCCCAGACTTGGATGGTCTGTTAGTACAATTAACCGCACAACAAGACATTTTATTTGATCATTTTAAGAAATAATCACGAAAATAACCCATAGACTGAATAAAACAAAAGCAGAAACACGGCAGAGATGCCAAGTTCAGCGGCTGATAGGGCAATCCACCTGTCACTCAAGTGGCCACGCCCTTAATTATGCATAACTTTAAGGCTTAATATAATTTAAACGGATGAGTTATAAAAAATTCACCCCCCTCACAGTTGCCATGAAGAGCAAAATTAGCTATATAGACCAAAATCATTTTTTGAACCAGGCTGTAAACATGTTTTTTTCTGCTGTAAATTTGGGCATTTTAACATGGGGAGTCTATGGGATTGACTCCCTTTTGCAGCCAGCCTCTAGCGGCCAGTCGATGAATTACAGTTTAAGTCACTTCCGTGTTGGCTTCACCAGAGAGAGCGGGAGGTGCCGCTAGGTAAAAATACACGTTTTTTTATTTTTTGGCGTTGTTCCCCTGGTAAAATTCGCATTCCAGGGGCTAAATATCACGTTATTGGGGTCGCTTCAAACCGCCGACATGAAAAACAACCCGCGGCAACAGTGTTAAAATAGCCCAATTACGCCGGAAAACCGAAGACTTGGCAACATTGCTCGCAGGTAGATCCTGTAATCCGAGAAAAGAACTCGTGTTTTTCCGTGTGGGCTCGGCCATCGCTATCTCTCGTGCGCACAGAGCATGCGCACCAATCAGTGGAACACGTTATGATGGTATGTACAGCATAGGAAAGAGAAAGAGATCGACTTAAAGATGAATTACAATCCTTAGGAGTTAAAGAATTTTCATTAAGTAGTATCCTGAATGATGGTCCAAATGCAGGAAAACAAATAAGTGCAGTCATGAGATTTCTTAAGAATTGTGGAATAATGAACAGAATTTAAGATTTAGGTGAGTACATTCTCTTCACACTCCATCACAGTAGGTGGCGGTATGCACCTATGAAGTTGGTTCGCAACCCGCCATAAAACCAAAAGAAGAAGAAGAGCATGCGCACCACTCTACTGCTTTTTCCGTTACTGTCAAATGTCAAACAACCAAATGCGTTAGCCAATGACATACGACGAAAAGTAAGTGTTATAAAAATGTCAAAAGTCTTATTATTAATAATGTACAACGATGATTTTAACAGAAAATCCCGAGACTGAAAGTGAAGATATTTCTGTAAATCTTTCCATTCGTTAAAGATGTCAAGAACATCGAGTTGTCGTTTTTCCACGTTTTATATTATTACGATAACAAGTTTTATACAGAAATGTTTATAAAAAAGTTTTATATTATTACGAACGTATTCGTGCAGAACCTAATACATATTAATGAGTTTAAAAGTTCATAGCCTTTTAAATGACTGTTGCTTAAAACTTTGTGAGGTACTGAACTCTAACTTAACTTGTCTCCCTAATAAGTGAACTACATTTGAAAAGTGGGGATATGAGCTGGATTTTGTTTACGTGCGCCATTTTACACCCAGACTGAAGATTCAAAGTGTCAAATACTAATGTAATAACGTCTAATAGTAATGTTTATCGTTCCTTAAAGTTGCATTTCGACCAAGTATTAAAATGTGACGCATGAAAGTGACTTCTTGGTTAAGTAGCCTACTCCATGGTTAGTTAAAATAACTTGAGGATGGTGCACATACAAGTTAACGTTCAAGAAACTGTGTTGTAACCATTCTGTAAATTCACATCCCAGCCTACCAGATTATAAATTATAACTGAACTGTTGACATTATCTCAGAATTGTAATTTTTATTTTATTTTTTTGCCACATTCATCTTTTAAGTAATAAGCATTCACCAATGAAATAAGAAGAATGAGATTTCAAATATGAGATTTCAGTGTTTGTAAACTTCTAACAGACCGGTAAGGACAGGTGTCTGTTAAATCTTCCTCTGTCTTCATTAACACTAATTTACAGGTAATGATAACAAATGATATACGTTGTTAGTCACTTTGTCTTAACTAGTGTTTTTGACTCATCAGACTCTTACCCGTGCAGCTTCATGAAGACTGACTGAATCATGGAGGACACACAAACATTAAGCGATGGAGATTTCTCTCCTGGATGCAGGTACCTTAAAGTCTTCATATCATCCCAATCTTACTGAAAGACATTGTATGCCACATTACAGGGTGTTCGCCTTCTTTGGCAAGATGTTCTGAGTGGTCAATTCTATCATATACTGTCTGCCAATAATGGATGGATAGATGGGTGATCCTTGTGCAGTGGCATCACTTTTCAACATTTGTAAAGCTTGTCTGAGATAAGATTCCCTATATGAGGTTTATCTACAAGTAAAAACAACTATATGAATTCTTGTGTCTATTCTGATAAAGTAAAATCAGTGTGGAGAGATCAAACTCACCGGAGCCCAGCTGTGTGTCCATGAAGAGTGACGAGTCTATGGATATACCATTAAAATTTGCTGGAAGACACGCATCAACTGATCCGAGGTGTGACATTTCTGTCTGGATGAATAGATGATATTTAGCACTGTACAATGTACAGTTATATCAACTGTATATAATCTGTTCTTGTGTCTGTTCTATTATGACTGTTCTATTGTCTCTATTAAAGGAGATTGCAGAGGGAGCTAACAAACCAACCGGAGCCTAGCTATGTGTCCATGAAGAGTGATGAATCTATGGATATACCATTAAAATTTGCTGGAAGACACACATCAACTGATCCGAGGTGTGACTTTTCTCTCCGGATGGACAGATAGATAGATGACTTTCAGCAATGTACAGTTGTTTTAAGTGAGTAAAGTGACGTGTGGCCAATTATGGTGACCCATACTTGAAATTTGTGCTCTGCATTTAACCCATCCAAGTGCACAAACACAGTAGTGAGCAGACACACACTGTGAACACACACCCGGAGCAGTGGGCAGCCATATTGCTGCGGCGCCCGGGGAGCAGTTAGGGGTTCGGTGCCTTGCTCAAGGGTCTCACCTCAGTCGTGGTATTGAGGGTGGAAGAGAGCACTGGATATTCTCTCCCCCCACCGACAATTCCTGCCGGACCTGAGACTTGAACCCGCAACTTTCGGGTTATAAGTCCAACTCTAACCATTAGGCCACGACTGTCCCCATATCAACTGTTATATCACTGTATATAATCTGTTCTTGTCTCTATATTCTTTTATGACTTCTATTGTCTCTATTAAAGTCGATTCCAGAAAGAGCGATCAAACCAACCAGAGCCCAGCTGTGTGTCCATGAAGAGTGATGAATCTGTGGATATACCATTAAAATTTGCTGGAAGACACACATCAACTGATCCGAGGTGTGACTTTTCTCTCCGGATGGACAGATAGATGGATTGTTGACTTTCAGCACTGTACAATGTACAGTTGTTATATCAACTGTGTATAATCTGTTGTTGTGTCTGTTCTATTATGACTTCTATTGTCTCTATTAAAGTCGGTTCCAGAAGGAGCGATCAAACCAACCAGAGCCCAGCTGTGTGTCCATGAAGAGTGACGAGTCTATGGATATACCATTAAAATTTGCTGGAAGACACACATCAACTGATCCGAGGTACAACGTTTCTGTCTGGATGGACAGATAGATGGATTGATGACTTTCAGCATTGTACAATATAAAGTTGTCATATCAACTATATATCAATTATTCTTGTGTCAGTTCCATTATGATTTTTGTTGTTTCTATTGTCTTAAAGTCAATTTCAGAGAGAGCGATCAAATCCACTGGAGCCCAGCTGTGTGTCCATGAAGAGTGACGAATCTATGGATATACCATTAAAATTTGCTGGAAGACACACATCATCTGATCCGAGGTACAACATTTCTGTCTGGATGGACAGGTGACATTTAGCATTGTTCAATGTACAGTCTCTAATCTCACTAGGTAAGTAATCTGACTAGTTAAAAGTATTTTTATATTTTGATTACAATACATAATGCTGGTACATGTATTCTGTTACTCCCCAAATTGTCTATAATATCAACTATATTTTATTATATTATTGTATGATTATTAAAGTCCATTTCACAGGGAGAAATCAAGCCCACAAGAGCAGAGATGTAAGTCCATGGAAGGAGACCAGTCTAGGGCAATGCTTGTAACAAATAAGGGAGAATCTATTCTGAGGTACAGCATTTCTTTATAGATAGTAGAATTTCTTTGTCTATCACTCTCTGCTGAAATCTGTTTAACCTTTAATTGGTGCCAGATTCAAATCAAATCTGCTGAAGAAGTTTCAGTGTCTGTATGAAGGAACAGCGACGCAGGGAAACCCAACACTCCTGAATGAGATCTACACAGAGCTCTTCATCGCAGAGAGTGAAAGTGGAGAGATCAGTAATGAGCATGAGGTGAGACAGATTGAGACACAATCCAGGAGAGCAGCAACAGAGGACACAGCAATCAAATGCAGAGACATCTTTAGACCTTTACCTGGACAAGACAAAGCCAACAGAACTGTGCTGACAAAGGGAGTCGCTGGCATTGGAAAAACAGTCTCTGTGCAGAAGTTCATTGTGGACTGGGCTGAAGAGAAAGAGAATCAGGATATCCAGCTCATATTTCCACTTCCTTTCAGAGAGCTCAACTTGATGAAGAACAAAACACTCCGTCTTTCAGATCTTCTTCATATCTTTTTCCCTGAAACAAAACAAATAGAAATATCCAGTGGTGAATATAAAGTGTTGTTCATCTTTGATGGTCTGGATGAGTGTCGTCTGTCTCTGGACTTTAAGAGCAAAGTGAAACTGTGTAATATATCTGAATCAGCCTCAGTGGACGTGCTGCTGATAAACCTCATTGTGGGGAATCTGCTTCCCTCTGCTCTCATCTGGATCACCTCCAGACCAGCAGCAGCTGATCTCATTCCCTCTGAGTGTGTCCATCGAATGACAGAGGTACGAGGCTTCGATGATCCACAGAAGGAGGAATACTTCAGGAAGAGAATCAGTGATCAGAGTCTAGCCGATACAATCATCAGACACCTGAAGTCATCAAGGAGCCTCCACATCATGTGCCACATCCCAGTGTTCTGCTGGATCTCAGCCACTGTTCTTGAGAAGATGTTGAGTGAAGCAGAGAGTGGAGAGATTCCCAAGACTCTCACTCAAATGTACACACACTTCCTGATCATTCAGACCAACATCAAACATGAGAAGGACTATGAGAAGAAAGTTAAAGATGAAGACATGATTGTCAAACTGGGGAAACTGGCTTTTCAGCAACTTGTGAAAGGCAACCTGATCTTTTATGAGTGGAAAGTCTTCTGTTTTGTTCATCTGAGCATCCAGGAACATCTAGCAGCTCTATATGCACACCGCTCCTTTATAAATGACAACATCAGTGTCTTTGACCAAACTAAAGAAAGTCTGTTGTCTAAGGTTTTAAATGAGAAGAAATGTAATTTAATATCTGAGCTGCATCAGAGAGCTGTGAATAATGCCTTAAAGAGTAAGAATGGACATCTGGATCTTTTCCTGCGTTTTCTTCTGGGTCTATCATTGGAGTCCAATCAGACTCTCTTACGAGCACTACTGCCACAGACAAGAAGCTGCTCCTACAACAAAGAGGAAACAATTCAGTACATTAAACAAAACATTAGGCAGAATCGCTCTCCAGAGAGATCCATGAATCTGTTCCACTGTCTGAATGAATTGGGTGATCTTTCACTGATGCAGGAGATCCAAGATTATCTGAAATCTGGAAAAATAGGAGAAACCAAACTCTCCTCTTCACAGTGGTCAGCTCTGGTTTATGTGTTGCTGACATCAGAGCAGGAGATGGATGTTTTTAAACTAAAACATTTTATTGGAGCCCAAAATACAGCAGATGATGTTCTTCTGAAGCTGCTGCCTGTGGTTAAAGAATCCAGATTTGCTTAGTAAGTCACACTGACAACAATCACTACACTGATTAAACTTGATCACATTTTTTATTTTAAAGGAATAGTTCACACAAAAATGAAAATTCTGTCATTAATTACTCACCCTCATGTCGTTCCAAACCCGTAAGACCTTCGTTCATTTTCGGAACACGAATTAAGATATTTTTGAAGAAATCCAAGAGCTTTCTGACCCTGCATAGACAGCAACACAACTGAAGCGTTCCCAGGCCCAAAAAGGTAGTAAGGACATTGTTAAAATAGTCCATGTGACATCAGTGGTTCAACCGTAATGTTATGAAGCTGCAAGTATACGTTTTGTGCGCAAAGAAAACAAAAATAAAGACTTTAGTCAACAGTTTCTTCTCTTCCAGATCAGTCTCCACCACCATTCACAACCACAAAGCATGTGTGTGATGCTGCTGACGCAGGTGCCGGCGTTCTGACATAGAACACGCATGCACTGCGCCTTGTTTAAAAGCAGAGGAATGCACTCGCATGCAAATAAATAAAGTCGTTATTTTTGTTTTCTTTGTGCAGATCACGCGCATACATTCAGGAATTAAGAAAATTTGGTCAACGCTGTCCTGTGATTTATCAGCTTAAAAACGGAAAAGTTACAGCATATTCTTTCTGTTTCTGAAGTAACTACCCTCAGCTTCGCCATAGTAGAGACGTTGCACAGACAAGTAAGCTAAGCGAATTAAGCAGTCATTTAATATGGACTTGGGCTAATTGTAGTGTTCCAATAAACCATGTTAAAACTATTCTTCTAGTATTATGCATTTATTTTTCGTTTAATATAATTTCTGAACAGAACTTTGATTTTTCAAGCATAGTGAAATAATTTAGCCATGGAGTAGTGTTTCTGATCAGTGGAGTGAGGAGTGGAGCGGGAGTGGGAAATGGTGAACTCGGAGCGGAGCTGGAGCGGAGTAATTATTGAATGCTTGGAGCGTAGAGGGGAAATTGTTGCCGCTCCACTCCGCTCACATACTCTGCTACACGTGCAAATCGGTGGGCGTGGCTAAACAGGCAGCGATGTAGAAGCAGGCGTTGATCTTCTGTGGAGGCGGGGTTTAGCCACACTATTAGGTCATAAAGTGGCACATTCCACAACCTGCCATTTTGACTGATTGGCTTCAATATAAGCTATTTTTAAACTAACAAGAAATTTTTGAGTTCTGAAACTTACAGGATGTTTTTGAAATACAATGACCTCTTAAATGTTAAAAGATCAAGGGAATTTAGATTTCTCAGTTCAAGACCCCTTTAATGATGTTTATGTGAATGTTTTACTTCCTCTATAAATCACGTTTGCAGTTCACACATTTATTCTGTAATTGCAGCTGGTGTGAGTTCACCATGCATCTCTAATCTGTACAGCTTGAGTTATTGTGGAATCACAGATGAAGGTTGTGCTGCTTTGGCTTCAGCTCTGAGATCAAACCCCTCACACCTGAGATGTGTGGATCTGACTGGAAACAATCTAGGAGCATCTGGAGTGAATCTGCTCTCTGATGGACTGAAGAATCCTCACTGTAAACTGGAGAATCTGTGGTAAGATTGTATAAATGTGTCAATATCTTCCTCCATTTTCTTCATATGCCCAATAATGAACAAAATAAACAAAAACTAAACAAGACTAAAAGATTGTAACTTTGAGGAGAGGTTGTGGCTAATAATAATTAATAGGCCGCCCATGCTTGCCATCATTTAAATAGTACTTCTGATTAGTCATCTACAGTTACCGATATAACCAGTTTGAAATGACCTTTGTCACTGACCAGCCAATTTGGCTACTACATTTTTAAGTTAGCAACGAATTAGAAATTCTACTAGGCAAAACAAAAATGGCAGAAATAAATTGATTGAAATATCCTAGATTTAAATATATTTGTTAAATCTGATTTTAAAACATGCAATCGCTTTCAGCTTTACGACAGTCAATCATTGCAGGTACCATTAAAATAAAATAAAATAATAAAACCAAAATAAAGGGAAAAAAATATTTTAATATGAGCAGCATTTATTCCATTGTAAACTCCAAATATAGCTCAAAAGTAATGTTTAATGGTAAAAATGTTGAACAGTAGCGGACAGGCTGTCAATTCATAAATAATCAGCTGTTTCATCACAGGAGTCAGGTTAACTCAATGTAGAGCCTCTCCTTTGAAATCCAGTCCAAAAAGTCAGCCCATTCTCACTCCAAGGCATCTGTTAATGCTAAATACAATCATGCCCCAAAATATATCATGATGAAAAAAATTCCCATTACCTTCACATCAGTATTGATGATTAGTGTTTCTCAATGAAAGCCATGAGTTTACCTGTGTGTATAGCAGTAAAGATGCTTTTTGTGCAAAAGTCTTGGACATGCGTAATTATTTAAGAAAAGGTTAAAAAGTGGCTCCAGCTGAGCGAAGTACTGCGTCTCAGACATCCGGACATCACATACTTCTTTACTCATGTTCTCAATTGTAAGGCTGCAGTCCAAAACTGAATCTAATCACCATACAGGCAAAAGTTCACTTCAAGAATGAACAAAGTGGGATCAATAATTTTGAATTAAGGTATTTGACAAAACAGCAAAAACAGAAAAGGAAAAGGCAATCAATGTTATTATTTCTCTATATGAAGCATAGACTTTATTCAAGCCACAAAACTGTGTGAATGGCTGTTCAAAACCATACAGACAGCAAATGAAGTCACCAGTGTTCATATTAATTTAGAGATGTACCTCTTTTTGTTTTGTTTGCAAATGTTGGAGGCTCATTTTAGGGGAAGAGCTCTAATAGCGAGGACATGCAAAGTGATAGAACATCATTTATGAATCATAGCCTGCCAAATTGATTATTGTGTTGATATGCATTACCTGCCATGGTCGATTTTCACCCACAGTTCAAACCCTCTATATAACAACCTAAAACCAAAAATGTACTCCCCAGTAGTGGCTCCTGACTGTAAATTTAGGTGGGGCAGATTCTGGGTCGTAGCGCTAATATATGAAAAACATTTTGTAAGCTTTATATTCTAATCTCTGAACACATGGCGACAAAATTTTGGCAGAGATGTCCTGTGGGTGGCGCTAATGTTGATTGACAGGCTCGAAGTAATGTTACACGCATAAAATGCTGTATAATAAATGCCTGGCTTAATATAGTATTTATCACCTCCAAATGTTGATTTAGAATGTTACAAGTTGTGGAGCAATTCGGGTGAGGAAAGAAGATCATAGGCCTATGTCTATTCTCAGAATAAACAAAACAAACACAACAGAACCATATAAAGGCTATTTATTCATGTGAGCACATTTAAACTAAAGGATTTAACGACTGTAAATTTAGGTGGGGCAGATTCTGGGTCGTAGCGCTAATATATGAAAAACATTTTGTAAGCTTTATATTCTAATCTCTGAACACATGGCGACAAAATTTTGGCAGAGATGTCCTGTGGGTGGCGCTAATGTTGATTGACAGGCTCGAAGTAATGTTACACGCATAAAATGCTGCATAATAATTGCCTTAATATAGCATTTATCACCTCTAAATGTTTATTTAGAATGTTACAAGTTGTGGAGCAATTCGGGTGAGGAAAGAAGACCATATGTCTCTTCTCAGAATAAACAAAACAACCACAACAGAACCATATAAAGGCTATTCATGTGAGCACATTTAAACTAAAGGATTTAACGTATAGCCTACTTTGTTAATTTGATCCACTACTCCACATAAAAAAAAAAACAGACATGCCAACTAGTTACTGACCTAATGCAGACACATAGCTGAAGTGGATTGATATCGTTGGTGGAGTGAGGTTCACGTAAGGTAACGTGAAAACAGGCCCGGATTGGCTAATTGGGAGCACCGGGAGGATTCCCGGTGGGCTGGTCTGTATTTTTGGCCGCGAGAGCCGGTGTTGTCATGGGTTGAAATATGGATGCTGTCCCTAGACTGCCTGCACTCATAGCAGCCCCACTCTTTTTATTTATTATTTTCTCGCAGCCCATATTATTATTTTCATAAGACCATATCAGTAACAAATTCTCAATTGATAATTAATCATTCTTTTTGCGCAAATCATTGTTTTATTTGCAGTGGCGGCTCGTGGGTTTTAAAATAGAGGAGGCACACTAATTGTATTGGTCTGGGATCCCTGCCGATTATTATTATTATAATTTGCTTAACCACTTTAAAATGGCTTTTTGGTTGCTTTTAGTCAGAAAACGTAAAGAAAACGACATACAGCAAGATAATATAATTTCACTTACCTGGCCTATCACTTGAAGCAAACATCCATCCCTTCTTAAAAGTCTGTGTTGAGTGGGAAATGGTGAACTCGGAGCAGAGTGATTATTGAATGATTGAAGCGCGGAGGGGAAATTGTTGCCGCTTCACTCCGCTCACATACTCTGGTCCACATGAACATGTTTGTGTATCTTGAAAAACATGGCTGCCATCGACCAATGAAGTTTGAGCGCCTACAGGTGCATCTCAATAAATTAGAATGTCGTGGAAAAGTTATGGGGTTATTCGGAATGAAATTCGGAATGAAACTCTGTGGGCCTGCTTTAGGCTACTCATGACCCTAAAGGTCTGTGAGAAACTTGAAAGACATCTGCCACTGCGGGGCTATATTGCATTTTTCTAGTGTGTAAACGATTGTATATTGCATGATTTTTCACACATACAATATTCATATCATATGTTAGATCTCATTCTGAACAACTTCAAGAACCACTGCTGTCAATTTTTTGTTAATTATTCAAGATTATTTAAAAAAACTTACTTTTGCGAACTAGTCCTAGTTTTTTTTTTTTTCTTTTGCTTAACCTCAAGAAAAAGAATGCAGTACAATTCCTTGGACTATAGGGGGGAAAAAGTTACATTTTACACTTTGGTTAGCTATAACAGGGTCATTTAGAAAATGAGCGTGGCCAAATATACGCAAAAGCCTATAATTCCTTAAAATCGAAAATTCACAAAATTAGGCGAGCACATGCAGCATATCATTCTAAAGAAGCTTGCCAACTTTTATTGGGATCGGACTATAGGTGGTGCTATAACAGGCAAAAATACATAAATTAAATATATATATAAAAAAAAAAAACATTAAAATGAAAAAAAAAACATTTCTTTGGTAAATTACCTGAAATTACAAAAATGCCCTTTTTAAATCATTGATTTAGGTGGTTGCAGGCTTGCTAAATAATATTTAATGTATTTTTTATGTGCTAAAATGCCTTAAAGTGCTTGAAGCCTTGTAATTGCTGCTTGCAGCTATATATATATATATTTTATTTATCTTTTTTTTTTAACTGAGTGTTGTGGCACAGACTCTGCCAATTAAGTCTCTTTTTCATATTTGTGAAGTTCCTGCTGATCTGAGCTGTAGATGCTGAACTGAGAGACTGAAGAGTGTCATTGTTCTCTACAGGTTGAGTAATTGTGGAGTCACAGATGAAGGTTGTGCTGCTCTGGCTTCAGCTCTGAGATCAAACCCCTCACACCTGAGAGAACTGTATCTGTCTAGAAATAAATTAGGAGACTCAGGAGTGAATCTGCTCTCTGATGGACTGAAGGATCCTCACTGTAAACTGGAAACACTGTGGTAAGATTGTATAAATGTGTAAAAAAAAATTTTACTTTTTCCTCTTATGAAGAATGAACAAAATTAATCCCAAAACTAAAAAAAGTGTCTGGTCCTATAATTGAAGATGTTTAATCGTTAGTTTAATCGGACAAAAAAAAAATCTTTCTTTGATATTGAAATGAACCTGCACTTTAGACTGGACCTGTTGAACATGCCATGGATTAAGTCTGTTTCTGATTGTGAAGTTGCTGCTTCTCTGAGCTGTGGATCCTGAACTGAGAGACTGAAGAGTGTCATTGTTCTCTACAGGTTGAGTAATTGTGGAGTCACAGATGAAGGTTGTGCTGCTCTGACTTCAGCTCTGAGATCAAACCCCTCACACATGAGAGAACTGTATCTCTCTGAAAATAAACTAGGACACACAGCAGTGAATCTGCTCTCTGATCTACTGAAGGATCTTCGCTGTAAACTGGAAACACTGTCGTAAGTTTGTATAAATGTGTCAACATTCTCTTTCATTTCCCCCTTACGATTTGTGAACAAAATTACTAATCAAGACTAAAATGTCCTTTCATATAACTGAAGAGGATGTTTAATAATTAAGAGATTGTCTGACATGGTAAAATGATCTTTACGGTAAGTATAAACATTGGATGATGTGTAAAGATGTTTTATCTCAAAGGTCTTCAACCCTGCTCCTGGGGATCCACTGTCCTGCAGAGTTTAGTTCCAACCCTAATCAAACTCACCTGAAACAGCTAATCAAGCTCTTCAGGTCACATTAAAATACACTTGCAGGTGTGCTGAAGCAGGTTGGAAAGAAACTTTGCAGGACAGTGGGGCGCCAGGAGGATGGTTGAAGACCCTTTATCAGCTTTATTTTGGGATACTGACATAAAAAACTTTTTTTTTTAATATATATATATATTTTTTATGATACTTAAATGAACATGCACCTTAGATTGGACTGGTTAATCATGCCGTGGATTGCATCTCTCTTTCTGATTTTGAAGTTCCTGATTATCTGAGCTGTAGATCTTGAACTGAGAGACTGAAGTGTGTTATTGTTCTCTACAGGTTGAATACATGTGGTCTCACACGTCAAGGTTGTGCTGCTCTGACTTCAGCTCGAAAATCCTCTTCACGCCTGAGAGAACTGAATCTGTTTGAAAATAACTAAGGGACTCATAACTAAGTTTTACTCTGGTCTGAAGGGTTTTTAACCATTATAACCTGAAGACACGTTTATAGTAAAAATTAAGTATATTAATGTTTCTTTTTATTTTGAAACAATACAATATTTCACTTTTATCATTGACTATACATGCACCCTGCGATTAAACGTTACCTCATGTGTAAACACAATATTTGGATCAAATTGATGCAGTTAAGCTCATAATTGCAGTAACCAATCATAGTAAATGATGTGGTATATGCTGATAATCGCAACAAACAGGCATCTTTTTTTAATCCTTATCTTCATCCAGAGATTGTGTAAAGATTATGATGGCAGCATAAGCAACCCCGCTTGCAGCGGCATTGCATCTAATTTGGATGTTCATCATAGCACTGTATAACCATCCAATACGTCCATAGAAATGTGTTTTGCATTCGACTGAAGTAGATTAAAACAGTGGCCTGTAACACAACTAATCTATGTGAGTTCATCATTTGTGATGTGCATTGGGATTTGTTAATTAACGGTGGTAAAGATAACCACACTTCTTAGTGATTAATCAGAATAATGAAAATTACCTTCCAGTTATGAGGCAATATTTGACTCCTTAGTGATTTGTTTGGGCATTTTTTTAACCTTTGCAATGGCGTTTCTCACCTTGTTAAAAGTATGTCATCCTTTATGTCAAATTAATTTATACTCATAAACTTTTTCAATTTTTATTAACAAATAACAATAAATTAAATTGGAATAATAAGACACAGTCAGGATGAATATGTTACCAATCAAATTAAATCAGTATCAACAAAATTCATCTTTGCACTACAGAGGTACACAGAAGAACTGTCATATTTTAGGTATTTATAGACTGCTTACGCTACACTTACATCATCCTATTGTGTACAACAGTTAGCAAAACTAGAGATTACTGTTTATAAAAATTTTCAGTATGGATATTTTTCTTACAAAAACGCATCAATTCGCTTCAGGAGGCCTTTATTCATACCCCGGAGCCATTTGAGGCACTTTTTTTATTATGGATGGATGCGCTTTATTGGACTTCTTTAGGACTATTGAAAAATAACACCCACTCACTGCCATTATAAAGCTTGGAAGAGCCAGGACATTTTTTAATATAACTCCGGTTGGATTCACAGATTCACATTAAAACAGGTCAGATGATAAGACACTTTTTACAAACAGTGGCTTCACATCACGTACAAATACCATGTTTGTTTGGATAACTATTTGATATGTTAGATAAACTATAAGATAAATATTTAATAATATGAAATAGACCTAGCATGATGACTGTATCCAACAATTAATACAAAAAAAAAATAGGTTTCAGGTATTTATTTATATATATATATATATATATATATATACATATATTTCTATTTCACCCATGTACCTGATTCATACACTATTCCACACAGAACTGTGTATTTTTTTCCTATCTGCTGATATTTCCAGTAAAGCAGACCAGCAGAAAAGGGCTCAGCTGATATTTTCTCCAGGATCTGACTCGCTTTGACACTAGATGATGAATCCATCACTATCTGAGACTTATATGGACCTAAAACCTGCAAGCATGCGTATACTTTGCACAGTTCTGTTAAACCCATGTTTACCCATGAAGCTCTTCAGAGATCAGATGGTAAACTACAGTATTACTGCTTCATGTCCAGAAACATAATGGTTTCATGACCAATACCCAGATGGAAAAACTTATCCCTAACAGAATATTGTTGAATTGTTTTTAAACAAAAGAAGAGTTTTGTTTTTATAGAAAAGACATGAATATAGAGGAAGATGACTGACAAGAGTGTCAGCAAAAGGAAGAACATCAAAGAGATGAAATTTTCTGTACACATATTTTTTAATTTTACATTTAGAAGCGAAAAAGATGCACTTTTGAATGGTTTACTGATAGAATGTCTTTAAGTGCTGTTATTTTTTTCTGATATGCTTCTGTATATAAAATGGGTTCTAGTGACAAACAAAATAATACAAAATGCATAATAATAGAAATCATATTCCTACGAGTTATCATTTGAAAGCATAAACCCATCCTTGTAAGTTAAAAGGTCTGTCCTGTTCTGCTTTGTGTTTTAGTGACCATCATTCTATCCAACACATCTTTAATATTAGGCATTTCTATACCATAACATTGTACTCTCATGCATAGAGCGTGGGCACCTGCTTCTTCCCATTATAGTCAAATCACGAAACAAATGTAAAATGTTTTAATTTATTAAATGTCATATTCATTAAATATTTCAAGTATATTTAAAATCATCGAGTTTCTATTTTCCCAGTGATTTGAGGGAGTTTCATGTGTAAAAATATAAATTCAATGTTCTACTGCCTTTAAATCTGAATTTTATGAAATGATGGTATGAGCTGTTTTCTTTGCTTTCTTTCTCTAAATAGCATGAACAGAATGAGTGAAAGTAGAAATAGTTTTGCTTGCGCCATTTTGCGTTGCGACCCAATGAAAAATTCAAAAATCCAAATCGAAACTGCATCAAATACTAATATAGTACTGTCTAAAAGTAATGTTTATTGTTTCATACACAGGAATTCACGTGCTGTAAATGGAAAACCATGAACATATCTTTTCCCATCATTAATGTAATACTGAAACCAATAAAATTCTTGTAACAATCAGAAGCTTTTAAGGAGGGAAAAAAATAATATATAATTATATATATTCTTAAAAGTTTCTATTTGTTGATTTTGGTATTTCATTAGCAGTGAAGAAAGATGTGATATGATTCTCGAAATACGAGGTGTGTAGACTTTATACCCACTGTATGAATTCTTGTCTCTGTTCTGTTATCTCTATTTTATTATCTCTGTTCTGTTAAAGTCAAAACCAGAGGCAGAGATCAAACTTACTGGAGTGCAGCTGTGTGTCCGGTCTATGGACACACCCCCAGAATTTAAGGGAAGAAACACATCAAGTGATCCGAGGTACAGTACAGCATTTTTGTCTAGACAGACAGATAGATTTACTGAGTCTTTATGTGAAGTTTATGTAAGGAAAAATCCATGAATTTTAATGCACAACATGGAGGCAAATGACCAGAGTGGAGGGTGGCCCACTTAGTTGTATGTGACCCCACATTTCACTTAAACCACTAAAATACAAAGGGGAAAAAAACACTGACCAGTGTTGCCAACTGCTTTTAATCGAAAGTAGCTAAAACTGGTCACTTAATGTTGCTAGATGACCTCATAAAGGTGAGTTCACTGATCTATATTTATATTTATATTTATATAGATCAGTGAACTCGCCTTTATGACGTCATGGGAGAGTCTCGGAATGTACATAAGGTTTGTCCAAGAAACTGATTTTGTTGCTAGGCTTTTGAAAAAAAAGTCTCTAAAGGGATGAGGAATTGGCAACACTGGCACACTGACTATATATGCTTGTTTTCATTAACCAATTGGGCAAGAGGTAACAGCTGTTCTTGCGTCCAGTTTGGTTTTCTTTTTTGTTTGCATGTCTTATTATCAGCCATGATTGTTCTACTCTGTTAATTAAAAGGCTGTTTATATGAATATTCACTTTTTTTTTTTTTACGAGAAGCATACAGGCTGACAATTAGCTGAACATATACATATATATTAGATTTAAATTAAACAAGTATACATATATATTACATATACATGACACCTAGCCTGCATTTTAAAATCTTTATTTGAATGTGGCAATTAACATTTTTCTTTTTCAACCTTTGAATATGGCAACATAACATTGCGCTCTGCAATATTTCTATGAATAAATCTCTGACAGAGACTATCAGCCAATCACTGTGTGCATAGTTAGTAAGCATGCTGACATCATCCATAGCAACGAGGTCAACCCCGCCCCCTTACTCTTAGCTTAAGACTTCTCTCTATTCCTTAGTAAAAGTTTGTCTCAGCAACTTGGTTTTAAGAGAAAACTCTTAGCTAAAAACTTTTACTGCTATTTAGGAGCACTCTTAGTGGTAAGATAAAATGCTTTGTGAATGCGGGCCCAGATTGGCACCTTCTCTGTCAATTTTTAAATCTCTTTTGAAAACTAATCTTAGCTCCTTAGCTTTTTAACTGGTGTGTCTTTTTGTGTTTACAGTTGGATTTGTATTGTGGATTCTGTTCAGTACTCTGTCTACTGAATAAATATGGTCCGGACTAATACATTTGAGGACAAAAGACACAAGAAGATATTTGAGATTACATACTGTATTAATTGCAATTCCACCCATGTAAATGTCCGTGTAATAGTTTCTATGTGGGACTCACCAAGAGGAGGTTACATGACAGTGGCTGAACAAAGATACACAATACGGACTGGTGACATGAATTACCTGATGGCGAAACATTTTATACAGGCCAAGCATGGTAGTGATAGCAATTTGAAGGTCATTGGAATAAACATGTGACAATGAATATCAGAGGTGGAGATAGACGTTTAAAACCATGATAAACCTATTGGATTCATACATTGAATGCTCTTTGATATCCGGGACTTAATGAAGATATTGATTTCTCTCCATTTCTGTAGGTGGATTTTTTTTCTTCTATTTTTATTTTTATTCATATGATATTGTTGTTCAATTGTGATATATCTGTCTGTATATGGGTTTGTATAAATATAGTTTTGTACAAAAATTCTTTCACATTACTATTTTTGGGTAGTATGTGAATTTATTGTATTTTTCACGTCATTATTCTTGGGTTGTATGTGAAAGTGTTTTGGATTCTTTGAGAAATTATTGAACAGTTTTTACTCTCAAGAGACATCTAGTGGTCAGATCCTGAAAATGCATAGTCACAGGTGTATCTATTTACCAACTTACTGGAGATGAACACAAGATCCAGGGGGTATGGTTGGATCCAAATCTAACTCCTCCCACCTTGCAGATAGGGGGCCTACCTAAACCTACCCATCTCCATCCCCTGATCCCTAAACCCACCCATCTCCACCCCCTAGATGTGGATCGAAACCACGCCCCCTGGATCTTGTGTTCTGCAGTGAGGGGCTACTGTACTTACTCACTATTTCAACTTTACTGTGTAATACTATGTACGTATGCACTATCATGTATCTTTGCACTATGTGTGTGTACTTTCTTCTGCACTGAAAGCTCCTGTCGCCAAGTCAAATTCCTTGTGTGTGTAAACATACTTGGTAATAAAGCTCCTTCTGATTCTGATTCTATTGTTTAGCACCCTGATGAAGGCCTGTTTGGGCTGATAGGCGTTGGTGTCTTTTTAAAATGTAGCCCTGTCTTACAATAAAGGCTTTTTACCTTTCTAACTATGTGAGTGCCTGGACGTGGATTTTCTTGTTCTGCAACAGGATCCACCTACCATTTTTGGTATTTAAAAATATGTTGAAAATATATTTTTTGCTGTGTGAGCTTCTCTTCTCCACTCTCTGCTCCATTTTAACATCCTTCTCTTGACAATATCTGACCATGCTGACCTGAGCAAGTGTCAGTTTCTCCTGTCATCTTTCTCCATATCCATTGCTATGTAGATGAC